AAGCCGCATTCGCCTCTAACACTGCGACATCCCACTGTGCACAGCTCCACCTCCATACAAGCTGCATTCGCCTCTAACTCTGCAGCATCCCACTGTGCACAGCTCCACCTCCATACAAGCTGCATTCGCCTCTAACTCTGCAGCATCCCCCTGTGCACAGCTGCACCTCCATACAAGCCACATTCACCTCTAACTCTGCGACATCCCACTGTGCACAGCTGCACCTCCATATAAGCCGCATTCACCTCTAACACTGCGACATCCCACTTTGCACAGCTGCACCTCCATAGTCTTTTCAGAAAAGCCAACCAGCCAACTCAAGTACGAAATCTAAACTCTAATTAAACCATAATTAATATTAATTCTCCTAATATTTAGAGGCTAATGTTTAAAGCAGAATTAAGTACATTTTGTTGGCAAACATTAGAATTTTCCTTCATTCCTCATTGACTGCTATGGATTGGACTGTAACCTTAAGACTCTCCTTGCATCTGTCCCTCAAATCTTTCTATTTGATGACCCTGATCTCACTTTTTCTTTGACATAAAAGCTAAACAACTTCAGATTAAAAAAAAAAGAAAAAACAGAATCTAAGTCAGGTGCAGTGGCTCACACCTATAATCCTAGCGCTCTAGGAGGCTGAGGGCAGTGGATTAATTGAGCTCAGGAGTTCAAGACCAGCCTGAGCAAGAGAGAGACCCCACCATCTATACCAAAACCAGAAAAACTAGCCAGACATTGTGATGCATGCCTGTAGACCCAACTACTCCGGAAACTGAGGGAAGAGGATTGCTTGAGCCTAGGAGTTTGAGGTTGCTGTGAAGTGTGATGGCACAGCACTTTACCTAGGGTGACAGAGTGAGACTCTCTCTTAAAAAATTTTTTAAAAAACCAAAATCTATACACTACAAGATGATTAGAAAATACTTTAAGTTGCAATTTCTCATTAAAGATATATAAAAAGTATGCTCTAGAAAAACACTCCCTGTTTCTATACAATGGGAATAAAAGGATTTTTGTGATCTCTAGAAAGCTAACCTTCGTGATGAGCTCCCAACATCTTATTACACTTGCTAATGTCATCTCTGGACTTTATAATAGTAATATCCCCCTGCTTATCATGGATCAGCTGCTTTTGTCTTTTATGAGCTACTCTGAGACCTTTAGAAGGTCATTACATCAGGAGGAAGGTTAGGTGACTCACTCTTGGTAGGTCAATGCCAAGGAGTTTTGAGTAATCAGTGTCGAAGCTGGGACCTGAAGAAACAGAAGAATGTATGTTTAGGGAATCGGACACTGCAACAAGTTTAATATTTCTAGATCTTGGAGAACACAATCGGAAATGGAAAAGAAACTGGAAGATGTTAGGTAGCAGCTTTGTAAACCATGCTGAAGAATGCTGTCTGTATTTTCCCTTGGAGGAATGGAATAGACATTAGCAGAGTTTCTGCTGATCTCCACTTCTTCTAGACCACTCTGTGGGTGAAGTGGACAGCAGAGTCCAGAGGGAGAGGCTACAGCTATAGGGTACATCATACCCTCTATAGTATCTGCACCCACATGCACGTACACACTTAGCCCACTCACTCCCCACACTGAGGGCTCTTAAGTCTTCTAGTCTTATCAGAGCAGAAAATAAAGAGCTGCATCTGCCCTCAGCTGGTTGGCCTAAACAAATCATCAGTAGAAAGGTCTGTAGGGAAACTGACCCACAGGTTCTGTATACCCTTTTTTGATGGAGTCCTGGTAAGTGATAAGAATTTGAAAGCTAAAGAGTTGGGGAGCTGGAGAAGGAAAAGTGTAATGTTAACAGTGTTATCTGGGCATTAAAAAAATCTAGTGATGTTACTCTACAGAGATAACAGGCTTTCCTAAATGACTTTCAGTCAGGTCACTGCCACAGATAAATGTAAGATTGAAAGTTTAGTATGCTTATTATGTTAGATTTGTGAATCCGAGTGTGATTTGCTTTCCTATTCTGTTTTCTCTGAGAAGCTTAAATTGATTGTGAGACAAAGGGTGATGTCATGTTTGGAAGGCACCATTAGGTGAATAAGAGGTGTTCTAGTTTCTTCTTGATCACCTTCCTTTTTGAAGCAGGCACTTTTATTTCAATTACCATAAGATCACATAGTGGAACGATGTATTCCCAGAGGGGCATACACTTATAGCACAATGGTACACTTAGCAGACAAATCCAAGGCATACCCAGGCCCAGGTCAATCACTCTTATACGTCACAAAATACCTAAATAATTTTAAGATGATTTTCTAATAAACACAAGAACAAAATGGACTTTCTTCACAAAATATCAAAGTGGTTTGAGCCCTGGGATGTTGCTAAGACATTGTTATTACTGTTGCATTTCCTTTTTTGGAGAACAAGGAGAGAAACTCAGGTTTATTGAGTGCCTGAGGTCTATCAGCTGCTCAGATAGGTGCTTTTTACAAACTGTGCGTAAACTCTGCATATAAGGCACCATTATTATCTTCATCTTACATGGTGAGAAAGGGTTGAGTTGTCTGACCAAGATCCTGCATAGTAATGGGTGTTGCAGGCAGTTCTGAAACCCAAGTCATTTTGTTTCTAAGACACAAGTTCTTTTCAGCTCACCACATTTCTGTTTCAGGGACCAGATATACCTATTTTGTAACCTGGAAAGACTGTGTTCATCATCCATAGCCTCCTAAATTCACCAGCTGCCATAAACAATGGATTACCTGAGAGATTATTTAGTCCTTGGTTGTAAATAATCATAAATTTTCTACTTTCCTTCAGGTTTTGGATTTTTTGTTTAGACAGGGTCTTACTCTGTCATCCTAGGTAGAGTGCCATGGCATCATCATAGCGCACAGCTACCTCAAACTCTTGGGTTCAAGCAATCCTCCTGCCTCAGCCTCCTGAGTACCTGGGACTATAGGTGCCCACTAGGACACATAGCTAGTTTTTTCTATTTTTAGTGGAGACAGGATCTCACTCTTGCTCTGGCTGCTGCAGAACTCCTGAGCTCAGGCAACCCCACTTTCCTCGGCCTCCTGGAGTGTTAGGATTACAGGTGTGAGCCACTGTGCTGGGCCTTCCCTCCGGGTTGAGAGTATAGTAGATTGCTGGTTCCTGACTGATAATGTTATCATTATCTTTGACAAAAAAAAAGAAAAACAAAGGCAACATACTCAATTTTGTAACGAAGTTAATTAATGTAAAGGAGGTTCATTATTATAACCTTTCTCTCCAGCTCAGGTGTGTGTGTGTTTGGATTTCTTTCTCTTTTTAATGAAATAATAGAGATAGTAGAAGGTAGTTTGCTTTTTAACATGCTTGTCTCATAAAGTAAAAAGTGGGTAAATCAAAATAAAAAAATATAAAGTAGTAAAATAGATTTTGTAAATTCAAAAACTATTAAAAATGTCAAAATAAAAAAAAACAGGTTTCTGTACCCCAATTTCCTGATGACATTTGTTAGATACTTCTACTTTGACCCTGAATAATATCTTGGGCAGGCCCGATAGCTTCTGCGCTTACACTTGGTTAATAAGACACTCTTTGGTCACATTCAGTCATCATCATAGACAGTTTTTGGTAATTAACATCTTAAGGCTTGTTAATAGTCCAAACCCCACACTCTGCACTTCATGCTAAAGTTTTCCTCCCCCAGCTCAGGCCTGCACCAGGAGGAAGGCGTCAGCAAGGAAGGGAGAGAGTGGTGAAAACCTTCTCTTTTTGCCTGTTTAGCTATCCTCTGTCCCTCCACCCCTCAGACACATGGTGAGCTGTGACTCTGACTCTACGAGGTTTGGAGGAAAAAAGCAGTGAGAATCAAACAGAGGAATGGTTTTAATTAATGGCATAGGTAGAACCTGGCTTTCGTTTTCTCTGCCCATGGCAGATGTTTAAAGCTGATTCTTTCTCTTATGAAAGTTTTCATGTTATCTGGCTGCATTTCCACCTTTGGAAATTTTGCTCAGCGGCCTATCACATTCAAGTCCAAAACAAAAAGCTAATGTGCTCCAATAGTGAGCGTGTCACACAAGGTGGCAGGATGTTTATCCAAACTCCTGGCAACTCTAAACATAAAAGGACATATTAGAAAATACATTTTCAGTCTCAATAATCTTAACTTTAAATTTTCAATTTATTTTATTATAAAAGCTTACTTTACAAGGTGATTGCTGTTATGAAAAAGGGATAGGCCATTAATAGTCTCATTTGCCAGATGGTATTTAGTCCAACCTGTAAATTATGCCCCAAGGTAATGTGAACTTTGAACTTATATACAGAAAAACTATCTTCAGATAGTATGCATTCTAATTCTTGAAATAAACTTGCCCACAAATTATAATTTAAGGCAGAGTAGGTATGCTTATCATGTTTTAATTCAGTTGAATTTCAGAAGACGATCTAAGGAATTTATGGAAAGAGAAATTAAAGTGATTTAGCATTAGAGCAGTTTGGTATCTCTTGACCTTTAAACTTCCACATCATAGTACAAAGTTGTTCTAAGATAAGAAATAGAATAAATTCTCTCCTAAGGTCACACCTGGAATCCTGGTTGCCTACAGGCTGACTCAACTGAGATCATGGCGTTCGATGGTACTTGGAAGGTAGTCAGGAATGAGAACTATGACAAGTTCATGGAAAAAATGGGTAAAGATTTCATTCCTTCATGGCTCATTCTTTGCTTTCTTACAGATACTTTTCTTTCCAATTCATAAAGTTGTAGGCTTAGGGATGGCTGCTAAGGTGATGTTGGTGAAGATCCAAGAGGTGCAATGGTTCACAGGAGGGAAACTGTATTCTCATTTCTTATATTCTGAAGAGTCCACTGTGTCATTAGTGGAAGAAGAGTTCTGTCCTCTGAAAAAAGATCCAGGTTTCCTTCACCCTTTAACTGTTGACTGTATCTCTATCAATGAAAACTGCATTGTGTTGTTGTTGTTAACAGTGAGAAAATAGCAGTATGTAATAACTTCCAGATTTTAAAACATTAAATTCTAGGGGATGGGAAAGCAAAGACCATATAATAAAGTAGTAGAAAGGCATTTTATCAAAATTTATAGTTCTGAATACGTTGGATTTAATCTGTATTTCCACTGACTTTTAAAACTTTGAAAATAATCTTGAGAAGCTATGTATTTTCTTTGACTATTTTAATTTAACTGATTTATAAATCTATACCAGTACTCTGGCAGTCCATGTACTGCACAAGTTGGGCAAGTAAATTTGTGTCATTCCCCTAAAAGAAAAATCTGCATCAATACATCCTATACTTTAGAGATTCCAAGTTTAAATTTATAAAACTTCTGCATTCTTGTAAGAATACATTTGGCTATAAAATTTGCCAATTTTCCCATTTTTATGTCAGTCAGAAATGCTACAAAAAACAAAGAGAATTACAAAGTTCAAAACTTAAAATCCATTAGGGACAGTAAAGGGGCATTTAAGGAAAAAGTGCTCAATATTCAGAGTTAAAGTTGTGCTTACTTATAAATACATGAATATACCTTTTATACTTTTGTTTGATATTTCTAGGATTTGATTTACTTAACACTGAAACAAAAAGTTTATTTCCCTTATTAAAATTACTCAGCTCTAAGATTCTAGAATTCTGTACTTCATTTAATTTTTCTTAGATTTTAGTAAAATAGCTTGAAGTAGTTTTCTTGATCTGACTGAGTTTGAGCTTTTCCTTCAGAAGCTATCTGAAAGTTCTTTTGCAAAGGCAGTGCTATCAACTTTTCTTTTCCACCATCAAAATAAAGATGAACAAATAAATAAAACATATCTTGGGAAAACAAACTTTCTATAGCATTTTGCTTTATTTTTTCCAATGTCTTTCCTTTTATAGGTATTAACCTAGTGAAAAGGAAGCTTGCTGCTCATGATAATTTGAAACTGATAATTACACAAGAAGGAAATAAATTCACAGTCAAGGAATCAAGCAATTTTCGAAATGTTGACATTGTTTTTGAACTTGGTGTCACCTTTAATTACAGCCTAGCAGATGGAACTGAACTCACTGTAAGAAATTTTTTATAAACAATTCATTCTTGAGTTTTCTACTCAATAGTAAAATGATTTGGTTTTTAACATTGGACAGTCTAATTACAACAGGTCTCCTTCATATGTTAAAGAAGCCAGTGATGTTTCTCCACATTATATATTGTCCAATATATAAAATGATGCTTTTATTTTCATACCCATATGTGAAGAATCTGGATTTAACAATAAGAACTGGAAAAATATCCTTAAACGACGGAGTACAGGCCTATTCATAAAGAAATTTAAAGCTCAGTGTTTTCAACTTTATACTTCTGACAGCAATGAAACTTTTTAGAGTTATATAACTTCAATCAAATAGCTATTTAATAAATGTAGTAAAATAATAAAATAAATGAATAAAGTAATGAATGAGTAACCAAATGGAAAGGTTTAATGCAGATCACTGGGACTGTACCTTTTCATGTTTAAGATAAAAAAAAAAAATGTAGGAAGTCACCATTTGCAACAGATTTTTTTAAAAACCATTTTTAGGCTCAGCATTATTCTGATTAAATTTTACATATGTGTGTTTGCAATGACACTTGAACTGCTGAATATTTTATCAATTATGTCATTCTTTAATTACCACCACCATAACATAAATTAAAACAGGTACAGGGTTTTTAGCCTCTCCATGAAACTGACTTAAGCCATGACTAAATTTCTGAACACTCTTTCTTTTTTTTTTTTTTGTTTGTGAGACAGAGTCTCACTGTATTGCCCTAGCTAGAGTACCATGGCGTCATTGTAGCTCACTGCAAACTCAAACTCCTCTGCTCAAGTGATCCTCTTGCCTCAGTCTCCTAACTACTAGAACTACAAGCATCTGCCCACCACACCTGGCTAATTTTTGTATTTTTAATAGAGATAGGGTATCACTCTTGCTCAGGCTAGACTTGAACTTTTGAGCTCAAGTGATCCTCCTGCCTCAGCCTCCCAGAATGCTAGGATTATAGGCATGAGTCACCATACCTGGCCTAGATACTCTTTTTAACATGAAAGATTTAGAAAAACATCCCTGCTCATCTGCCTTACAATTAAGCATATGCAAATTATCAAGGGAGACAAGCATGATGGTTATCCACACATACTCTAGAGCCTCATGGCCTAGGTTCCATCCTGCCTGTGCAATTTTGGGTAATTTACAGTGCCATTTTACAATCTCCACTTCTGTTAAGTGGAGATAATAGTATCTACTTCATGGGGCCACTGTGAAGATTAAATGAAAAATTGGATCTATAGGGCTGGGCACGGTGGTTCATGCCTGTAATTCTAGGACTCTGGGAAGCAAAAGTGGGTAAATTGCCTGAGCTCAAGAGTTCGAGACCAATCTGAGAAAGAGCAACACCCCATCTTCTAAAAATAGCCAGGTGTTGTGGCAGGTGCTTAGAGTCCCAGCTACTTGGGAGGCTGAGGCAAGAGAATCACTTGAGCACAAGAGTTTGAGGTTGCTACATGCTATGATGCCACAGCACTCTAACAAGGGTGACAAAGTGAGACTCTGTCTCAAAAAAAAAAAAAAAGCAAAGTGGATCTATAGAATACAGAAGGGTGCCTGATACACATAAGAACCTAATAAATGCCTTGTTGTTGTTCTTCTTCTTCTTCTTCTTCTTATTATTATTATTATTATTATTTAGGGGACCTGGACTCTTGAGGGAAATAAACTTGTTGGAAAATTCAAACGGATAGACAATGGAAATGAACTGAATGCTGTCCGAGAAATCCTAGGTGGTGAACTAGTCCAGGTGTGTTGTACAAAAGATTTATAACTATTTTCCAAAGGCAAAAATGATCGTATAACAACAATTTTTGTCATTGCTGAGATATATCTTCTGTGAATAGACTATTTCTTTTCTTGTGAAACTTAACTATTTTAAAAACACAGTATGGATATTTTCTGATGCTTATTTAATAAAGAGAACCTATATATGGATATGTGAAATAATCAGTACCTACTTTAACTGAAAATGTAAATGACTACAAACCAAAACGTGTTTTCAATGGTGTGTCCTATATCTATATGAAATGTTGCTATTAATTATAAGAAAAAATAGTATAAACTCATTTAAACCTGTAATAATACCAATATTATTCTTAATTTAGACAAATCTTAATGGTAAATTTTTCTGTTTGTAAACCTATTTCAGACTTATATGTATGAAGGAGTAGAAGCCAAGAGGATCTTTAAAAAGGAATGAAATTTATTCTTGGAGCACGGCCTGGAATAAGAGCCAGATGGAAGATCTATATTGTATCAGAACTGTTTTTCTCCCCCCATCATTTACTGATTAGGCCTTTTATAAACATTGGTATATTTCCATTCTTGCCAAAGCAGAAGAAGTAAAAGCTAATTAGGATTAAATTGTTTTTACCATTCTCTAAGACGTACATTTATTGGTGTTTAAAAATTTTGCAACTTTTTTAAAACAGAAAAATAAATATTGTTCCCATGCTCCTTTATAGGTAGCCTCTCCTTTAAAAAAAGCTATGTGTCTACTCATTGATATTTTTTTTTCTTTTCACGTTTGGCAAACTAAAAGCATGGGATGAATGGGGCTTTTAAAAATCTTGTATTGTTTGTAGCCAATTCCCTTGGTAATAACTACTATTATAATAGTAACAATGCTCAACTAGAAAACTTAGAAATAAGAAAAGCAAATGCAAAATAAATTTTCCATAAACCTGCACTCTAGAGACAATTATAATACATTCTAATTTTAAGTGATATCCTCCTAGTCTTCTTTTCTGGGTGTAGATATTTCCCCATATATATCACTTTGCAGAAGATGACAGGAAATAAATGATATGCTAAATTACATGCTTGTATTGTATTTTTCTACACTGTCAATAGTTCTTAACCTGGCTGAAAATCAAGATCATCTGATAAACTAAAAATCTATGCTTTCTTAATTTCCACTGTCACTCCACTACATCAGAATCTCTAATAGAACAAGACATTTTAGAAAACTTCTTGGTGATTTTGATGTAGACTGTCCACACTAACCAGTCTTTGAGAACGATAAGACTATTAGATAA